TTTTTTTTTTTTTTCATTTAGCAGAATGTAGCATGCAGTGCTAGAGTTTCGCCACCAAATAGTAGCTCGGGAAGATCTGCTGCTCTTCCAGCTGGGGCATCATGGTACACCATCCTCTTATCATAGTTTATTTATTCCTAATGTTATTTTTCTTCTTCTCCTTAGTTTCATACTGTCTGGATCAGGGGCACTCGTCCAGCCAATAACAGTCAGCCTTCGCCAACAAGTACGCCATACTTCAATGCACAATCTAATCAGAAACCTGACATTTCTAGCAGTCCAGTGCCAATCACTAAGAAATCGTCGAGCGCGAGTCAAATATCTTCATTGCAGAGTGATACTGGAAAGAAGAAGGTTCAAAATCAAGAAAACAGCATACTTCGAGAAAAAACTAAGAAGGAACCTTCTGCTTCGAAAGAAAAGGAATCAAATGCAGATTGTAGAATACCTTTATCCAATGGTTCAGAGACATCTGTACATTTTATGAATTTGCCATCAAGTAGACAGCCCCGCAGTCCGCCAAAAACCAACCTGTCATTAAATTCTTCTAATTTAGTTGATTCTTCTGTTTTTTCATCTGGGCCTATGCCAGACAACAAATCCGTTGATCACACAGATGGAAACCTTGAAAATGTTTACTCTACTATATTATCAATGAGCATTCACGAAAATCAAGAGGTCCAGAATGGCTATGTTGAGCACAATAGAAAGCCACTGTTCCGTCAAATATCTGCAAAAGCTGTAGATGCCTTGGATGATAGATGCGGTGGTAATGTCCAGTCTGATTTTGGACCTGGAATGCAGAGTGAAGTAACACAACTAAAATGGCACGGCAGGGAAGATGACGTGTTATCTTTTGATAACCAAAGGATTAACGATCCTGAGGTTGCTACTGGTAGAGTGCAAGAGTGTCCCGATGTATTGAATTTATCAAAGCATTCTAATACTAATTCTGACGAGTTTAGTAATGTTGGCTGGTCAATTGGTATTGGTTTCAACAGGCAGGTTGTGGATAGAAATGGGAATTTGGTGGTTCCAACTCTTAATTTTCCAAATGCACGCCCTGAGAATTTAATGAGCAGTTTTGAGGGTAATGATGCTGGAAATTTTAATTTGTTTTCAAGTGAGGAGAGAAGGCCTCTGCTTGGGAGGTATGAAGGTGAAGCATCTAGTTCTGGTGCTGACATGGGGGAAAGCAGCATAATATCAAATATTTTGTCAATGGACTTTGACCCATGGAATGAGTCGTTAACTTCACCTCAGAACCTGGCCAAGTTGTTGGGCGAAACTGATAAACGAGAAGGGTCCTTTGGAGTATCTGTTCCTTGGAAAAGTCATAATAGCAATCAATCAAGGTTTTCATTTGCTAGAGAAGGGGAAACCCCCAATCATATCTCTGGTTCTGAACAATCTATTGATTGCATTGAACAAAACTTTAGGCAGCATCCGTTTGGCCATGCTATCTCCAGCAACAACAGCTTGTACCTTTCTGCAAGTCGCAATGGTTTACCTGTTATCGGTGGTACAGAACCAGATAATTTTGTCAGCAATAATTCTCATACCTCTTCTAACAAGCTATCCGGTTTGTTAACCTTTCCCCTTTAATATATTGTGCTATATTTTTTAAATTCATCCTCTTTATACAAGTGTACTCAGTGGAAATAGTCGTGTGTATCTATTGAAAATGTAAAAGGGTAAGTAACATAGTGGTTTTGTTTCTCTGTAGAGGTCCTCAATCTTTTTAGCATGTTTAAGTTGCTATCACGATTACATTGTTTTTGTTCCTTTTTGGCAACCAAAATATTTGATTTCTTTTCAAAGTTGTCAATATAGTTTATTCTGATCCAGCTTTCAGGGATGGGAGATAGAGGGCAAATAAGCATATGAAGTTCTGGAATAAGCATCCTTGTTTCTTATGTATATTATTCGAGTTGGTTAGCTGGGATGGGGTCCAGTATGATGTGTGACACGACTATTAGAATATTTTTTGTCTAGGTCCGTTTGTCAAATGATTGTTAACGTACATAAAAGACTAGGAATTTACTGTGCTTGCTTCCATTCGTATCTTCTTCTGTGTGGAATGTACTTGTTTCATAGTTTTGTCATCTTCCTTGTGATATATTTTGTGATTTTTTTTTACAGCTTCAAGGTCTCATATATCCGCCCCACCAGGATTCTCTGTGCCCGGTAGAGCAGCGCCACCTCCAGGCTTTGCTTCTCGTGGAAGAACAGAACCGATTTTTGAGCCTCTTTCTGGTGAGTTTGTTTGCCCCAGAAAATTTAAGCTTCCTTTTATATTCAATATTTGATCGTTCCATTTTTCCTCTTTTGAAGTATAATTTCATTTATTCTAAACTTGCAGGAAATCATATGCATGATGCATCCTCCTCTTTACTAAGAAACCAGTATCAGACACTCCCTAATAGTAATTCTTTTAGCAATGGTGATATAGAGTTCATGGATCCTGCAATTTTGGCTGTTGGCAAAGGGACACTTCCAGGTGGCATCAACAAAGAAATGATGTCTAATTTTCCTCCGCAATTAAATACATATGAAGATGTTAGATTACAGTCTCTTTTACAGAGATCTCTCCTCCCACATCAGAATCAAAGATTTACTAATGATTTGGGGGAGAGTTTTTCTACCCTTGTCGATGCTTATGGACTTCCTTCTAGGATAGCAGATCAACCTCTATCAAGTAATCTGCCCACATTTTCTCAGTTTAACCTGCCTCATCCTAGGAATGGAATAAATCCTAGTGGGAATAATTCGGGTATGGCTGAACTGCTCAAAACCGAGCGGTTAGGATTGAATAAGTTGTATGGTGGTTACGAAGATCAAAGTTCAGGCAATCTATACAACAGGCCATATGGGATTTAATTTAAAGATGCCCTTATTCTGCTCGGTTCACAAGGTTGATTGCAAATGCCTTTGACAAACCATAATTGCGGATATGAAAGCGAGGACTTCAATATATATTCAATATCAGGTGTTATGGTGCGAAGGAGCTTTTGAGAAGTGTTTCCTTTATGGAGGTGACAGTTGCGGTTTGTCTGATTGGGCTACTCTCAGGTTGGTGGAGGATCGAACCTTTCTCAAAATGGGTAGTCGGAAGCCAACAGGTAAATTGAAGTTGGGGTTTGTTTCAGTTACACGTGATTGATATTTGCTGAATAGCATTGTTAAAAGAATTAGTGAAGTAAAATTAGAGCTGAGAAGTGAAGCAAAATTAGTTTTAGCTCATGTTTATTAGTACCTATCTACAGCTTGTTGTTAAGAAAGTAAGGTCGAAATTTTTTACTATGAGCTTATCTTTGTTCACCATATAGATTAACACATGGATTCACAGTGGGACATTTCTGTCTTTTTAAAGTTTCATTTGACATGTTTGTTCCCCTTTCTCCTTTTTCTCTCTCAAGTTTTCTTTTTGGCTTTTTTATTGTATTAATTATCTACATTTCTTAATTTTGTACTACTTTTCAGGTAAAAAGCTCTTGAGACGTATACTTGATATGAAGGCAAAGCAAATATTGTGGAAGGCAATTCTAATTCTTTGGTTAATGTCGTAGTTTCGGTACTGGGGAAGAATCTGATTAATGATTTCAGACAAGTTATTGGTTTTGATATCCGATCCCTATAAACTGATACCCTTATACTACTGTGCCTTGCTGTAACATATGATGTTTCTCAATACTGAATAAAGAGAGCTAAAGAGCAAATACATTATTCTCCCATAATTCTACATTAATGATGAAACCTGTAATACTTGTACAAAATTTTTGGGGTATGGTAACAGAAGATGATGATAGAGAGATTATTTCTAATATCTGCAGTAGTTGAGATTTGAAGGTAGGACATGTGCAGGGACGTCCAAAAGTTTGTGAGAAATGAGTAATGACTGGTGTGTAATATGGTTGTTTTGTATATTTGCAGCTTTTTTCTATCTAAGTAGGATACCATTTTCTTCCATCACGGCCCACAAGTCCACATCATGATTCTTGTTAATCATACATCGCCTTTCCAAACTAGTAGTTTCCGTTTGAATTTCAGACGTCTGGAAAACGAGTGCGGTCTCACGTTGATGATGCGCACTAAGATAGGAAAAACTCATAAGAAGCTTAAGTGAGGTTCCATCTCAAAACAAATTGGTGGAATGAGTAGTCTATTAGACGTATAAATTAGACTTATTTTATCTATATAAACGATGTGTGACAATTCACAAGTGAGTTTTTCATAAGAAGTCCAAGCTCGTAAACTGGGTTGGGTGCCCAAACCGTAATAGAAACGGGTTGGGTAAATGGGTACGTCATTTCACGGTCCAATACTATGTAAGGAATGGGGGGAAAAAGGAGTGCGGTCTCATTCGATGATGCGCACCAAGAGAGGGAAAGTCCAGATAAATTCCAATTTAGGTTCCATTCCAAAACTAATTGGTGGAAGAAGAAGTAGCTCATTAGACGTATAAATCAAGCTTATTTTCCCTATATAAATGATTTGGTACAACTTACAAGTGAATATTCTAATAGTGACCGTTATTGTATTCTATGTTTAAAAACTATTGGTGGATTTTTTCGTATTTTTTTAAATAAAAAACTAAAAAAATAACGTAATAATAATAATAATGCCAAAAGATTCTTGGCTCATTTACATATATGCTATAGCGATTTTGCTGAATAATTTTAAAAATACCAAATTCCAAAACGTATTTTCAATCATACTTAACTTACCATAAAAAATATATATATACACTAGATTGTAGAAAAAGAGAGAGAAAATACTTTCATTGGAGTATCCTTTAGTTACGGAATTCTTTTCCTATATAAATAATAATAATGATTATAAATTAATGATAATCTAGAAAAATAAATTAATGATAACCTAGAAATAAAATAACTTTGAAGATTTCCTAAAAAATAACATGTTCAAATTTAAATTAAGGGACGTATGAACTTAATGGATTTTGCATGTACAACAGAATAAATGGTTGAAAACGTAATATATACTGAAAGTATATTGACTACATACGAAGCCAGTTATATGACACAATTGAGCTACAGTTAATTGACGTCACAGTTACTTGACGTCTAATATGACATACATTTGAAGATAAATTAGGACTGTGTATAATGCACAAGCATTATAACATGATATATAATTGATATATATACTATTTATTGTGACATTTTCATAACGTGTATCGTGATATATGCTTGCCATATACTTTAGAATCTTCCAAAATATAAACTAGCTATTTTAATTTATTAACATAAACTATTAATAAACATAAAATATACATTGAAATCTTCCAAAATATAAAGAATCAAAACATGTACTATCCACAAATCAAACGCCATCTGATCCAAAATTCCAATATCCAATTTCTCATCTTTGCTTATTTATTCTTCCACGCAGACCACCAAAATTTTGTCTCTTAAAGTTACCCATCAATCCACCAAATTCTAACTCTTAAATCAATTCGTTTCTTCTGCACGCCTCATTCTAAATATCCCGACATCCACACAATTGGTGGTCTTGGGACGACATTGGTCTTGGGACGACATTGGTCTGCGGCCGAAGGGTCTCCAGCTTCAAACAGAGGCGAGCGGCGCTGCCCGACAACGGTCCTGGATGATGGACTGTCTGATTGGTTGATGGTATGGCTGGTCTGAATGAGATATGCTTGTTGGTGGCATCTCACAAGACCTGCTCCAACTTTGGAAAGACCCGAGTACACGTCGTAGCTTTAGTGGCTTAATACTCTTTAATTTGCTGCCAACTTTGAATTTTAGTGGCTAATAAATTAGAGTAACGCTACAAGTACATAATGGTGTACATAAGGGTGTACATAATACTCGTACATAATGGTGTACATAAAGGTGTACATAATACTCACATTGTGTGGGACCCACAAAAAATAAAAAAACAAGTGGACCCCACACCATGTGAGAGTTATGTACACCTCTATGTACACTTATTATGTACATATAGCATTTTCCATAAATTTAAGGCTAGAGAATGATAGGAGAAGATGGTGAGAAACTGAAAAAAGGAGAAGATGGGAAATCTAACGAAAAAGGAAAGAAATAAAGAAAATAGATGAGATAAATATTGGTACAATTGCAAATAAAAATGAAGGTGTTATAGTTGCAAATCAAAATTAAGGTTCGTATATGTGCAAATGAAATTAACTTTAATTATAATCATTGGTAATCTAGATAGAAAATCACGTTGAAGATTTAATCCTAAAAACAACATTATTAAATCAAATTTAAAAAAAGTAAATTATATAGGGACATAGATAATTGTATAAAAGAATTATCAGAGGGGCGTATGAACTTTATAGATTTTGCATGTACAACAAAAGAAATGCTTGAAAACATAACATATACTGAAATATACTACCTATATATGAAGTCAGTCATATGACACAATGTTCAAGGTGGCCTTTCACTGGTTATTGGTACGAACATCAAAGGCACACTTGTGATCAGTCCCCACATTCCTTATCTTGAACGTGTTTGAAAGACCGACACGGGATGCTTTCACAAACCACGATCACTAGCCACAAACTTCACATAGTGTTATTTGGTCAAACCACGATCACTAGCCACACACTTCACATAGTATTATTTGGTGCTCGACTTTTCCACCTTGAACTGATATTGATGTTTTATAGCATGAATAGTTAACAATCTTTGCATCATTTCTTTGTCTCTGAATAAAAGACCAACAACGATATTCGAGTCGAGATGATGATCGCCCGACAAACTAACTTCAGTCTCTCGGTCTATAGAAAGTTTCAATATGCACCATATCTTCAACAACATTTCGTGCAAAATACATGAAATTCATTGACCCAGCCGTGACATCTTTATAGTTTTTGAGCCCCTCATATCTCAACAGAGCTACGTTTAATTCACAGTTCATTTCTACATCATGTATGTGCTTTCAAACTAATTTGCATCACTCACCGGGGACTTCACGACCAAGCATAATGGAAACATCGTGTAGTTTGATTCATTGAACCTTCAATTCCACATCAAAATTAAGACTGATATCATCATCTATGCACACTGGTGGAACTCCTTCCTTCAATTGATACTTCAACTCATGAACATATGATCGAGATGTAACACCAGGTTTATCAATTAACACACCACATAGTTCATTATAGCTGCAATTTTTATGAACTAAAATGCCCGAAAGCTGGAAATTAACGTAATCATTCATAATCCATGTACCATTATGATGAATGAATATCATATGTGTCTCCATTTGAATCAATAAAAGAAAAAAAAATGTCATGAAATACCACAAATAAACTCAAATAGTACGTACAATCATAAACAAAACTACGAAACAATCATATCTACCTTTTTTGGTTGTTTAGCATCTCCTATTTTTTTTTTTACTTTGATCATGAAACTGAGTCGTCTCTCTCTCTCT